AGTTGGTACGAACAAACAAAAATTGAAACCTAAAGAAAAGATAAAGCGGAACACGAAAACAAATGCTAAATTAAAATATAGTCCAAGTTCTGATTCTGAATTATCGAACTGCGATGCAGATTCTGAATTTGAAAAACGTTTGAAGCGTAAATTGTGGTCAAAATTTAAAAAAAGAGGGTCTTGACTGCTCTAAATTGAAAAGCAAGAAGAAGTTATCAAAGCATAAAATCAAATCTAGGAGGAATCTGAAGATTAAATCAGATTCTGATTCTGAATTTTCGAGAAGCGATTTAGATTCTGAGTTCGACTCTTCTGATTCTTCTGACTCTTCTGATTACGGTAAATATGATCGGTGTGGTCATAGTTCCAAATCCAGCAAAAACAAATCAGGGATTGTTTTAAAATCTTCAGACAAAGTGAAAAATCCTCAGTATTTTCCTCACAATTATTTACAGTTTGAATATGTAAATAAAGATTTGAAATTCAAGCAGTTGAATTTTAAACAATTTGTAGCGGGGGATTTGGAGATAATATCTAATTTTTGTCATGATAAATATGAAAAAGAAGGCAGGTTAAAGTTACTGCAGAAAATTTCATATTTTCTGCCATTTATCAATGGTCGGCTATTTTGGACTTTTACGCTGCTTGGTTACGTCAGATGGAAATAGGCAAAAAATGTTGGAGTGACGATCCATAAGTTTTGGAGAGTGCAATTTTGACTGGTAAAGTGCTTAGTTTTGATAAAACCGACCCAAAGTTTAACAAAACCCTTTCTTCAAAATCTACGGTTTGGTTTTGTTATAAGTATCAGAGAAACAGATGTGAGGAAAAGACAACACCGCATAATGATACGATTAGGGGGTAGTTCGATCCGTGTTACATATTAGTGCAACATGTTTACAAAAAAGTGGTACACAACGGAACCATCCGGAATGTGCTGATTTGTGTCCACATAAACGTAAATGACTATGTAATTCCGGGAATAAAAATTCTATGTTTGATGGTGATCACTGTGCAATGTGTAAAGATGTTTTACTTTTAGAAGTTGGTCACACTTCTGATCTTATAGATTTACATAATCAGCTAGTTTTTACTGATTCATACAATTTTGAGTGTTTAAAGATTTCTATTTATTCTAAGTTGAATATACGATTTTGGCGTTCTCAGTTAGAGTTTTATTTTGACAAAGCAATTTGTGAATTTTGAGAGTTTGGTTGGCCAATTGGAATAAAATATCTAGAAAATCTTGATGTTGTAGAAAAGAAATGTAGAAATCACACTGGGGCTCGGTTGTATTCAAAAGACATAGAAAAGTATATCAAGAAAGAGAAAACGTACTGTGCGGTGTTGGCCCCATTCAAAGTTAACCCCTTTTCTGATAAGTTGGTTATATCTCCGCTTAATTCTGTTCCGAAATCTGATTCTGCCGAAAGAAGGGTCATTATGGATCTTAGTCACCCGAAGGGTCATTCTGTGAATGACTGTATTGAAAAGAATGAATATTTGGGAGATAGAGTTGATCTTCATTATCCTACTGTTGATAAACTAGTTGACATTATTAAGAGTAAGGGTCAAAACTGCTTAATTTTCAAGAGGGACCTTCGTCGTGCTTATAGACAAATTCCATTAGACCCAAGGGACTATAGTTTTGTTGGTTTTTCTTGGCGTAATCACATCTTTGTTGATCGTGTTTTACCAATGGGTTTGAGATCATCAGCCTTTATTTGTCAACGTATCACGAATGCAGTGACTTTTATCGCTGGAACATTGGTGTGGATGTCATTAATTATCTTGATGATTTTGCTAGGCAGACTGTCCTAATAAAGCTCAAGTCTCTTTTGAAAAGTTGAAGAGTGTTTTGGATCAGTGTGGATTGGAAGAATCTGCGGAAAAGGCTTGTGAACCTTGTTTAAGAATGTCTTTTCTTGGTGTGTGGTTTGATACAGAGAAAATGACTTTAGAAGTTACTCCAGATCGTTTAATTGAAATTTCAGAGTTGGTTGTAATGTGGTTGAATAAAGAAAAGGCCAGAAAGAAAGAAGTGCAGTCGTTGTTGGGGAAATTAAATTTTGTCTCTATTTGTGTTAAACCAGGTCGGATTTTCAGATTTGTTTTTCTCTTGTGACGCTTGTTTGACTGGATGTGGTGGTATGTCGGGTTCTGAGTATTTTCATTGCGAGTTCCCTGAATTCATTAGGGAACACAATTTGCATATCAATGCTTCAGAGCTCTTAACAGTGATTGTTTGTTTGAAAGTCTGGGCTATTAAAGGGAAGAAAATTTGTATTTATTGTGACAATAATGTTTCAGTGCAGGTTATAAATAAGGGACGAACTAGGAGTAGAATTTTGCAGAGTTGTTTAAGAGAGCTTGTCTTTGTCTGTGCAGTGCAGCAATGTGAAATTAAGGCAATACATTTAAGTTCAAAGGACAACCGGGTCGCAGATTTGCTTTCTAGATGGAATTTATCTCCGTCCTTTCAAGAGGAATTTAAAAACTGCTTAGAATACAGTTCTCGTGTTGAAGTTAATGCTGATCCTTCTCTTTTTAGGTTTCAGCATGACTGGTGATTTAGATCATTTAAGAGCAGAATCAAAGAATTCCATTAAAAATGCGTATGCTATTGGGACACGGAAAAATTTGAAGATTTAGTGGAAGTCTTTTTTATTATTTTGTAATTTTTACAAGTTGGTGGCTTTGCCTTGTTCGTTGGAGACCATTTGTTTATATTGTCAATTTTTAAGTCGGTTTTTTGCTAGCACAGAATCCATTAAGAATTACGTTTATGGTGTTACAAGTTTGCATTTATTTTTAGATGTTTCGCTTCCGCATTTTGAAATCCCATTGATAAAAAATCTGGAATCTAAATTATGTCCATGTTCTGCCTACATGGCTATGTGCAAACATTTTCGAGCACCTTTAAGTTCTTCAGCCTTTTTAATGCGAGGATCCCGTAAAGGCGAAGTTAAGCCTGTACGCTATAGAGTATTTAATAATTTCTTGAAACCATGCATAAATAATATTGATTTAAATTCGGAACACTACTCCACATATAGTTTCAGAAGAGGTGGAGCGACGTGGGCTTTTAAATGTGGTGTTCCCTCCAATTTAATACAGTTACAAGGAGATTGGAAAAGCTCAGCTTATAAACGTTATTTAAAATATGGGTTATCAGATAAACTTATTGTTGCTAACAGTATGTCTGCTCACTGCTGATCTGTTTTATGTTATTTTAGGACAGAAAGCGTGGAACAGGTCGACTTAGATTACAGGGGATTCTATAGTCAAATATTTCCCAGAGTTAAAGAATTCTTCAATTCAAGCTTTTGGAAGGACTAACCTCAGAGCGACTTGTCCGTAAGCTGAGCAGATCTGATTTAAATGTACATGATTTTTGTAATGTAATTATTCATGTTGGTACAAATGATATTTTTCATTTAACTAGTGGTAAATTTAGATCGAATGTTATTTCTATCATTAATCTCATTGCTTCTGTTAACAGCAATTGTTGCATTTTGTTGTCGTCTATTTTACCTAGACCGGTTGATTACAGATTTTCAGAGGTTATATTAGGTAGTTTTAATGCAGAATTAAGGGATTTGGCGTTAAATCACAGTGATCTTAGTATTCAAAGATGTAGAATTCAATTCATGTCTTGTAATAGAACTTTTTACGATAAGTTTGGAAGACCAAAATTTCCTTTATTTGATCAAATTGACCGGCTACATTTGAATCATGCTGGCATTAATAAAATGGTTCATTTTATTGCTAATACTTTAGCTCATTTATAGACAGTAAGTAAGAATTTTAAGGTTCGACAGGGAGGCATATTTTCTCTGACCCCTATATATATCGGGGGAGAGTTAAGTGCTTATCCTTGACCATTTATATTGGATTTTAGCAGACGGGAGGGTTACCTAAAGCTTGTCTCCTTTCTACACTGGAGGGGTTTAAGGCAGCTGACTCCCAATTCGTTAATTTTACACGATTGTTTGGCGGACCTGCGGTTTGGCGGGTTTTTTGAAAGATAGGTTTTTGTACCTTCTGTTTGAGTAAGTAACATGTACTTTTATTGTGACTGTCATTTGTTTTTGTATTGTGTGTATAGTTTATGTTGTGTAGACCTGTTAGTTTTTGAGATGCTGATCCAAGCATAATAAATGTTTTTACATACTTTTCTTTTGTTTGAAATTTGCCAGAGAGAGTTAAAAGATTGAAGAGTAATTATCAGTAAATTAAAAGCAAACTAAATATTATGACGTCTTTACACTAAATCCATTTGATGTTGGATGTGTACTGATTGATAATTTAGTCTTAGATGCATGATTTTTTTTATTCGTTATTATTGGCTTTGAACTAGCTGTTAGCAACTGCGAGTACTCTCAGATCTGTACTTGGTGTCTTTTAGTTGTTGGGATGTACAAATACCCGGCCACGTCCACTCTGTATTTTTGTTAGATGTATTTCTATTTATACCCATCTGATGAGTTAAGCCTTTTTTAACTGATTTTTATAGTTCGTTCTTATGTTGTACTGTTACACCACTGTCCCAGGTTAGGGGAGGGTTTCGGTCCCGCTAACATGTTTTACCTCACCACATTCTGTATGTATGTGCCTGTCCTAAGTAAGGAGCCTGTAATTCAGTGGTTGTCATTTGTTGCTGTGTTACATATTTGTTTTTCGTTCATTTTTTTGTACATAAATTAGGCCGTTAGTTTTCTCGTTTGAGTTGTTTTACATTTGTCTTGTCGGGGCCTTTTATAGCTGACTATGCGGTATGGGCTTTGCTAATTGTTGAAGGCCGTACATTGACCTATAGTTGTTAATTTCTATGTCATTTGGTCTCTTGAAAAGAGTTGACTCATTGGCAATCATACCATATCTTCTTTTTTATATTCACAGTATATTTTCTGTTACGTTCAATCAAGACAAGACGCATGCACTGTGCATTCATACTTAAATGTTGATCAATAACAAATCATAATATAATACGTGCTCACCCTGCAATGGTTCCTGTCTACACGTGACTCCAACGTAGGAATCAAGCCATACTTTACACTCAATGTTGTCTCCCCATCCGGAACATTGACTGATCGGTCGCGTTCAAAGAACAATGCGCATTTTCCATCCAAAATGGATTCCCATACTGATGTGGTCTACGGAAAATTGGCTTATTTTCATATGAATTTTGTGGTTCCCCTCCATGACTAAAATATAAAATTGTCTAGGTACGTGTTTATATCTGAAAGCAGTTTAAAAAGTTTTAAACATCTATATCTGCATTTGCCATTGATTTTTTTTATATATGATACGCAAACTACGTGATCACAATAGCTTGTTTAACAAAACTATATTAATTACAACTATATCGATATTTTTTTTCAGAATTTGTATATGCATTCCAACCTGGTTGGCGATACAATAAAAGAAAGATAAAAAAGTAAAGATTACATACGGATATCCAAGAGACCGACATAAAACTGCAGCTTCTATAGTTGTAAATCCACTGACGCAGATAGCTCCCCATTTATGTTTGTGAAAAACTTCAATCATTCCTCCTCCATTTGTTGTGGATGTAACTAGGCGTACAGGAGTTACACTGGATGCTAAGATTGTAATATTCATGATTATTTTAGATCAGAGTTTAAGCTAAAGTCTCATTTGTGGAAATACTGAATTTAAACAGCTATCCATGCATTATTTAGTTAAAGCTGGAATGATCGCAATCACACATTGCCAAGTTCCCTATATATAGAAGTCCCTATTGAACAGGAATTGTTTAAATTGGACATAGTGTAGTTTGTGTTCATATGGTTGAAAGGCCTATTCATTTAGTATGGCATTAAACAATTGTTTTCTTTTAAAGAAAACTAATTCTTATTTGTAAAGTCTAATGCAACAGTTGTTTCCAAACAATTTTTTTTTTTAAATCCATTGCTACAAAATTTTCATAAAACAATCCTAGTTCTTCCCAAAAAGAACTAATGTGAACAAACCTCAGGTGAAAAAAAATGCATAAAAAAATATTGAAATGTTTTCTTCATTATATTCTAAGGATATGACTAATTAACTAGTTTGATTCTTACCATTCACGTGGACTTCGAACAGCCGTTGCAGCCTGACATCTTCAGTAACTGTCACGCGGCACCTGTAAAGTCCAGAGTCTGTAGTCTTTGTTTGTTTGATGACAAGTTTACTAATATAGCGACCTCGGTTATAGCGATCACGTGTCCATTCTTTTTGTCGTATCAGATATTTTGCGCCTTCACTGATTAAGGTGAAGTTTTCAGTATTTGTATTGGACATCTTTTCCCACTGAAAAATTAAAATGAATTCAACATTACTTGTTCAATAAAGTTCTTTAGAGTGTGTGTCGAAATTAAGTACAACAACGAAGGTAACGTCATATCATGGATTTGCAAATCCTTACTAATATCATTTACATTGTCACTGAATCCTAGATTGCTATCGTAATCTCAGGTTGCAAGACCACCTTAATGGCCTGAATGCTCTCATTTTATCATGCTCTGTCAATTTTCAAGTATCTTGATTGTTCATTTTTTTTGGAGGGGGGAGGGGATATAAACAGCAATACTAAACGACATTGAATCATTGTCCTGGCGTTTTCAAATGACTTCATGATAATCTCAGTTTTCTCCATTTAGAATGGAATTGTCAACTTCCAGCACCGACTGATGCCAATCATGGAATAGTCGTATATGATAGTCTGAGTTCTAAGTGTCAGAAATCAACAACAATCTATTCACCTTTAATTCTTTAATTCGCCTTTACACTCAAGTTCAATGCAGATTCCTTTTAAAGGAAATTCGTGTTACCTTTGTTCGAGTTTTCTGTGTTAATTGTAGTATATTTTATCTCTTATGGATTTGTATTACTTTTTCCTTTTCCAAATTATTTTCTTTTTTTGGAATCGGGATGAACTACGGACTATCTCAGGAAACAGTAGACGCTTCCATTTACCTTGATTACTTGTTCTTGTCAATTATTTATATATTATTTATAAATAAATCAAATTCACTCTTTAATGTGAACTCAACAATCTATATATATATATATATACAAGTCTAAATTGAAAACAACGTTCAAACCTATGAATGCGTTGGATAAAAACCGTAATTTTTATACGTGTGCATGCAAAACAAATTTCTTGGTAGAGGGGTCTAAATACAGCACAAACAACATTTTCCAAAAGACCAAATGAGTGAAAAAGTATATTTTAACAAAACGCATTTGACTAGCAGGTCGAACAACTGATGTTCTTAAACCCTGCTGACTGCCATTGGCGATTGCCAAATAAACGGATCACAAGATGTAGCAAAACAGATCTTATCATTAAATTATTACCAAACAGAAAACAATAAACTTGCGGAAAAGATGGTATACCGCAAACATGAGGTGCAAAAAATTTGTACACCATATCCGGATTTCGACAATTAATGTCTCTTCAGTGATGTTAGGAATCGAAACGGTATTTGGAAGGCCATATAATTTACCTCAATTTAGGATAGACTCTTGAATTTTGAAAGAGTCAAAATAGGATGAACGGATCATATAAACCCGAAGGCAAATATAATACAAGCCCAAACGAAAAAATATAAACAAGTCTAAATTGAAAACAACGTTAAAACCTATGTTTTTGATGACGCAGGTGTCAGTACCCCACTGGCGCTTGCCCCCGTTGTAAAGGGATAGTTTCAAAATAATATATATATATATATTTTTTATTTTGAAACTACCCCTTTACAACGGGGGCAAGCGCCAGCGGGATACTGACACCTGCGTCATCAAAAACATAGTATTCACAAACAGCATTATATGATTGTAATAAAAATGGTACAAGATACTTGCAAATATTTAAAAGTCTTATAAATACATTAACGCTAAAATAACATAATACATTGGTTATTTCGTAAAAGTACATTACAGTATCAAATTCATATTCATATAATATTGGAAATCTTTCTGTTGTCCATAAAAGATCCAAAAAAAATTCAACCTTGAAACCAAAAATAAAACGTTCACACACAGTTCATGATATTAAACATTTTATCAAGTAAAAAAGAACGTTCATTCATAACGTCTGTAAGATATTTTTTCCCGATCTTATCTAAAAGATGGACGAAAGATACCAGAGGGACAGTAAAACTCATAGATCGAAAACAAACTGACAACGCCATGGACAAAAATAAAAAGACAAACAGACAAATAATAGTACAGATGACACAACATAGAAAACTAAAGACTAAGCAACACGAACTCCACCAAAAACTTGGGGTGATCTCAGGTGCTCCGGAAGGGTAAGCAGATCCTGCTCCACATGTGGCACCCGTCGTGTTGCTTATGTTATTACAAATCCGGTAAATAGTCTAATTCTGTAAGTCACATTCGTGAAAAGGGAAGGGTATTGTAGTTACGACATAAGGAACATATCCGATATCATCTGTGAAACGGTTATTCCATAACTATCAACCAACTCGTGATGGCGTCCGTAAAATTTACGAAGGGATGATTTCAACTTCACCATTTGGAACTCTTGGCTTAATAGCTTCCTTGTGAGCAGCAATCCCCTATCAAGGAAATCATGATAGGAAACACAAGCCCGGGAATATCGTATCAATTGGGAGATATATACTCCGTATGCAGGCGCTAAATGAATATGAATATCTAAACTATTACCTAAGTCTGTAGAATACAAGTAACCCAGATCACCTGATCACAGATGAACAACAAATAAATGAGGCATACATGAGTTCTGAACAACAGGTAACTGACATCCTAAACTCACATGCACCCATTAATACAAGAACGCACAGAAAGAAACCACTGCCATGCATGAACAGCGAATTAAGAAAATATATTTATCGCAAACTTATGCTCTATACAAATTATACAAAACAACGAAACAGTAAGACCTGGGAAAAATACCGTAAACAAAGAAATTTGGTAAACAAACTTAAGAAAGACTCTATGAAAACTTATTTCTTAGAGAGATGTGCAGGCGGATCAAAATCAAGCGATTTTTGGAAATGTATAAAACCCTTCTTATCTAAGAAATGTAAAAATGTAAACCAAACCATCGTACATACAGAAGGTAACAACATACTAAATGACACAAAACAGGTAGCAGATACTTTTAACACCTTTTTCTCTACAGTAGCAGACTCTATTAGAAATGACACCACATATAGAAAAGAAAATCATCCAAGTATTCAAGAAATTGAAAAGAACCGAGACCAAGAAGTAAATTTTGAATTTGAAAAAATAACACCTGACAAAATTGACAAGATCATGAACAAAATAAACATTAAAAAGGCTACAGGAGCTGATGGAATTCCAGCTAAGGTTGTGAAGCTAAGTAAGTCTGTCATGGGGCCTCAAATTACAACACTTATAAATACAACAATTGAGTATGGGGTATTCCCTATCAGACTTAAAGAAGCACAGGTCACTTCAGTATTCAAGAAAAATGATGCGCTTCCAAAATCCAATTACAGATAGATATAAGAAGAGTCAATGAGACAACTCTCCATCCAAGTCAAAATTTATAAAAGTAAACCATTATAGGTCAAAGTACGGTCTTCAACACGGAGCCTTGGCTCACACCGAACAGCAAGCTATAAAGGGCCCCAAAAATTGCTAGTGTAAAATCATTCAAACGGGAAAACCAACAGTCTAATCTATATAAAAAACGAGAAACGAGAAACACTTATGAACCATATCAACAAACGACAACTACTGAACATCAGATTCCTGACTTAGGACAGGTGCAAACAATTGCAGCGGGCTTAAACGTTTTAATGGTACCAAACCTTCACCCTTATCTGAAACAATAGTGTAACATCACAACATAGAAAGACACACTATAAAATATCAATTGAAATGGCTTAACTCAATCAAAAGACATATTAACACCAGTGAACATACACTGAACAAATAAATTTGATCTATGATACAATGTAAATACAAAATAAATAAACTAAGGGGAGAATAATAAAAGTAACATGTTATACCGCTGTGAAATGTTAAACAATTTAAGTTTAAGACCTGTAAGTGTATTATCTATAATATCTAAAATATACGAAAAAGTACCAGAGATCTAAATGGCTGATTTTTTTTACAATATTTTTAACCCGTCTCTATGTGCATTTCGTAAGGAACATGGGTGCCAGACCACACTGCTAAGTCTTTTGGAAGATTGGGGAGAAGCTCTGGATAAAAATCATTATTTGGCTGCTGTTCTTATGGACCTCTCAAAGGCTTTTGATTGCCTTCCACATGAAATTTTAATTGATAAATTGCTCTCATATGGTATTAAGCCACATTCAGTCTCTTTACTAAAATCAAAGTTAACTGGTAGAAAACAGCAAATCAAAATTGGAAGCATTCTTAGCAGTTGGGCTGGCATGCACAAAGGGGTACCGCAAGGCCTTATATTAGACCCTATCCTTTTCAATGTATTTTTAAATGATATTTTTTATTTTATAAAATATGTCTCGCTGTATAATTATGCTGATGACAATACTTTGTCTTTTTCAAGTCCTGATTATGACAATCTTATATCAACCCTAAAACCGGACTCATGAGCTGATTCTAATGGTTTAGAATAAATAAAATGCAAGCCAATTCAGACAAGTTTCAAGTGATTGCAGTTGGAAAGAAAACTGTTGACATGAACCCAGCAATTGAAGTTCAAAATTCAAAATTAACTTGTGAAAAAATAGTTAAATTGTTGGGTATAGAAATTGACTATCAATTAAAATTTCACATCCATATTGGAAATATCTGTAGAAAGGCAGCCAAGCAACTCAGTGTTTTAAAACGCTTAGGACCATATCTTTCTAGGCTAAATAAAATTACTATATTTCATACATTCATTTTAAGCAACTTTAATTTCTGCCCTTTGGCATGGCACTTTTGCTCGGAAACTAACACTAAAAAACTAGAAAAAGTGCAGGAACGAGCACTTCGTTTTGTCTATGACGATTACACCTCGTCATATTTGGAATAATTACAGAGAACTGAGCTGTCTTCCCTACAGATCCGTCGTATCAGGACTATGGCATTGGAAACTTTCAAAATTCTTAACAATCTAGCTCCCTCTTGTCTCAATAATCTAATAAATAAAAAACAAACTAATTATTCTTTCAGGTATAGTAACATTTTGGATATTCCAAAGGTAAGAACTTCCTCTTTTGGCAAAAACTCTTTTCGTTTTGCAGCTCCTACATTATGGAATAGCTTGCCTGACCATTTCAGGACTGAAAATAACTTCTCCCAGTTTAAAAGCTTAATTCAGTCCTGGAATGGATCAGAATGTAAATGAAGTGCATGCAAGTAGTATTTTTTTAATTTGTTCTCATAGCTTTTAATTTTTTCATTTACTTTTTAGTTGCTAATAGTGCTTTATGATTTTGATTGCTTTGCATGGCTATTCTATTCATTTTATGTGTGCTTATATGTTCTGCTTATATATGTATGCTTTGATTGCCTTGCATGTATATCATATTCATTTCTATGTCTGTATGTGTATGTATATCTGTTTTATGGTGTGTGTTTTGTTTTATATATTCGGTGAAAAGCTCTCAAGAGCTTATGTTTGTATGTTTTAAACCATGCTGAATCAAACTAATTTTTTCTTATCTTATCTTATCTTATCTGTCATGAATTGTATTTGTGCTTAGGGCGGCAACTCTGAAAAACAGATATCCATTTTTAAACTATCGAAGCATGCTTGTGTGTCAGTACTTGTTCTTTTTCTGATAGACGAGAAAGAAGGACAATCTAACACAACGTGAAAAATATTCTCAGTCGCATTTGAGGAACATAACTGAAACTCATTGTTTGTTGTAAGATTCATTCGTTGAAGCGTGGCATTTATAGGCAGACAATTTGTTCTTGCCAAAATTTTTAGCCTTGTTGAGCGGAAGTCGTCAACGTTTGATAAATACAGCTGCTTACGTTTAATAACCACAAATTATTGGTACAAGTTTAAACTACTCTTTCCTAAAATATTGGATAGTCGCTTCGTTATCATATAGTTTATTTAAGATATTAACGTTTATGTTTCCGTTTCCATAATGGTCAAGACCCGCAGTCTGTAGAATAGTTTCGATATTTTCTATATATTTCCTTTCATTAAATTTAGCAGGTATAATTTCATTTAGGATAATTTTAGACAGTCGATTATCGGGCAGGTTTTTTAATCTAGCGCAGTATGCATTTCTTTGTCTATCCATGAATCTACTTATTGACTCCCAGCCAAATTCAGCTAGTAGCGCACATTTCGGGATATTCATTTTTGTTTTTAAGATAATTTTTCCCACTTTATATTGAAAACTTTCTAGTAATTCGATACATCTCTGGGATGACAGGAACCATACCGAACATCCATACGTCAGGGATAAAAATGACTCAGGTTAAATTCTTAAATTTTTTGGCCATATTTTTTTTATTGTAAACTTCCGTAGACTCGGAGAAAATACCCGAAGAGGGCAACTAAAAACCAAAGCTGAAGAATACAGAAAATATGATGACCAAAAGGAAAAAACAGCAAAAAGACAACAGTCCTCAAACAGTACACAGAAAACTAAAGTCAAGCGAGTAGGTCGAGTTTTCATATCAATAAACATATGTACAGATTACCGCGCACATAACACGTGTTTCTGCTGTACGATCGAGACAAAGAGTTTATAAAGTCAAAAAAGTAAATAACGTTTTAAGCCAGTAATACATGATGATAATTCAATGCATTATTTTACATCCAGAGAGGCTGTTAAATATGGTTGATCCTTAAATTCACATAATCAAATTATTCTAATTTTTGAAATGGACTTTGAGCATTACGTCTTTTTCACGATGCATGTAAGCACACACTATCATACTTATTTCCCTGTTCTAAAAATTAGTCCAGTCTATTTGACATTGTTTTCTTATGAGTAAATAATTGTTTAATCTCACCATAAATGTCGGTGATTGTTCAGAGCGAGTCCTCACTTTACATCTCAAAGCAACATCTTTGTTTTGACCGATACCATAATTGCTGTAGTATGGAGGTAAAAACTCTAATCCTGATAATCTTGTGATATCTACGAATAAAAGGTTTTGTCAGTGTTTTTCTTAGACAAATTTTGTCAATGAAAACATAGGTATCTTATTATTTTAATCCTTCTGAAATAGTAAAAACTCATGTACTAGGCGGATCTAGAACTTTGAAATTATAATTAACTTTAAAGATGAAATAGCCACAAACAGTCAAATTTATACGAAGCCGGTTAGAGTCGGTGAAAATTTATTTTCGACTTAAGCTAACTCACACGACTTAGTAGCTCGTTATCACGATTTAGCTAACTCGTTATCACGACTAAGCGAACTCGTCATCGCGACTAGGTAACTCGTTATCACGACTTAGAAATTCGTTATAACGACTAAGCTAACTCGTAATCAAGACTCAGCTACGTAGTTATCAAGACTTAAGTCACTCGTTATCATGATTTATACAACTTTAAGTTAGCTAACCTTAGATTAACATTAGTCTTTATAACGATCTAGCTAAATCGTTATATAACGAGTTACTAAGTCATGAATACGAGTTATCTGATTCTTGTTAACGAATTAACTGATTTATGATATTCGATTTTTCATTATTACAGTTAGCTAGTTCGTTATAACGAGTCAGTTCCTCTTTATAACAAGTTATTAAGTCGTTATAATGAGTTACTTAGTCGCAATAACGTGTTAGTTTAATCGTGATAACGAGTAAGCAAAGTCGTCGTAACGATTTACTAAGCCAAGTCGTCATAACGACTTTAAATTTACTGCACCCAGGCGTCAACTGGCTTTTCTTAATTTCAATTGAAACCAACGTATTGATTATTTAGGTAGGGTTGTAAGTATCATTAATGACGCACGGTAACATTATGTTTTCAAAACACACAAATTATATTTTCAAAGTAGTTTGATTTTTAAGTGTTTAAGAAATAGATATGGATACACTTGGTCGTTAGTTCAAGTATTTCCTCAAATACAAGAGAACATATTTTATGTTAAGAAATTTTTGTGTAGCACTTATGAATTAATAATAAAACTCAATATGAAAACTTACGATTTCTTTTTGGAAGTCTGTAAACCTGATAGGAATGAATAACTAAAATACAATCCCATAATACACAATAAAAGAAAAATCTAATAACGTGCATCTTACTTAAAGTTCTCACAACTACACTATTTTAAGATCTTTATTGTTGATTTCCGGTAATGGGCCAATGTGAGTATATATACATAAAACATTTGGATTAAAATTGAACTACTATTTAAAGAAGGTCGTATGATGAAACCTGGCCAGTTTTATAGCTATACAAGGTTCATACATGTATTTGAATTTTTTAAATATCCAAATTGTGGTTTCTAAACAAACGACAATACAATCACATTTTTTTCAACTATTCTATAGGGGCGACGATTAATGGTTTATTTTTTAGATTATAAGATTATGAGCAAAGATATTTCACATGTGGGGTCAATGATCTGAAAATTTATAAAGACGCCTCGTTTTCAAAAAAATAATCAAATGACAGCGATATTCTTAAGTTTTTGTTTGTTTGTTTATTTGTTTTTTTGTTGTTTGTATGTTTGTTTTTTTTTTGTGTTGTTTTTTGTTTTTTATTTTGTTTTTGTTTTTTTGGGGTTTTTTTTGGGGGGGGGGGGGGGTGGTAAGGGCCTCATTTGATCTTTGTTTAATGTAATAAATTATACACATAAACATTAATAATTGAATGTACCGTTTCAGAAAAAAAAACATGATGTATGAGTATTCATTTTCTTGTTTTACTTTGGACCCGTAGCAACTGCATGCTTTTTATGAATATATTCATTTCTTCTGTCAATATTACAACTTATTGTGAATGCACACTTCTATGAGTTTGACTGTCCCTCTGGTATCTTTCGTCCCTCTTTTACGACTCATTTATTTGAATACAACAGCACTAACAAGTAAAAGCTTTTCTTAAAGCTAGCCATCTCATAGCTAGCGAAATTAAAATGTTTTTTCATGCAGAATAGCATTGCAAAAAAAAATAAACTGCATTTTTCCATTCTATTCGTTTTCAGAACCGGAAACAGCGCTTGCGCACACGTCGACAAAACGATCTTGCAACATTATGCTTTTATGAATGAAATATCTGACTAAAATATACCATTCAAGCTTAAATTTCGTTGAAATCCATAAGATTTGGAAGATTTCCTCAAATAGATATAAGAAGATGTGGTATGAGTGCCAATGAGTCAAAGTCTGTTTTAGATGCCTTATTTACATTCCAACGTAAATATTCTAAGCGTACGACAAAATTTGATATTGAGGGGGGAATAAGGCTTTTATCGTAATTACCCTTCAAAGCTAAACATGCTGAAATAAAATATTCTTTTGTGGGAGAGCGTTTATATGTTGACATGTAGATGTCTTTCTGTTTTATTATCATAGTGTTTTTATGTGTATACATGGTTTTAAATTACTCTAGAAAACATCAATTTTCAAATAAACCAATGCCAACAGTATTTTCGTCTGCATCGTCTAGCCCAGCGCAAAACCCCTCTAAATTATACCCGTATTAAGGTTCATGTGGACCCTTTGGCTAAAATGGCTGTATTTTCACCTCACATTTTACTATGAGTACAGACAAACATGTTTTATCTGGAAAAGTTTTAACGCAGGCATTTTACCCAAATGGTCCACATGAACCTTAATCAGTATTAATCTCGGGGAGGAAAGGGTGGGTGGGTGGGGGGGGGGATACTTTCTATAAATATACAATGTGATAGGACGTGCCGCTGGAATAGGTCACATTTTTCAGATTGAAAATATGTGAATAGGTGGGGACAACTATCAGAAATATATGATAAGGTCAATGAAGTTCCCATTACTTGTTATATGAAAAGCCCTGTGTTTTTTTACAGCCAAAAGTCTCGCTGTAAGTTAATATAAGAAATCTGAGCGTCAGATATGAGCCTCGCTCTGAGCAAAGGTGATATTTCTCTATTGTGCCGGAATGTGATTCTCGCCGGTTTCAGGACACAAAATTTTAAATCATCACGTACAATGACGTCACTTAATTCTGCGCTTGTATTTTCCGAGGTATTTTCAAAGGCCATTATTGGAATCATGTCTTTCACCGGAAAAGATCGTCAATTCCGCACGCCTTTATGGCGTCATTTACCGGATAGAAGGCGCGCCTGTCTCTCTGCTCTATTAAAGTTTCAAGCACTTTCAGAATCGTCATTCTGCACGGTAATCTAGAAATAATTTATGTTCCGTAAGTACGTAATCTTAATTCTGAAGGGAGGGTGACTAACTTATTAGATTTTAATTTCCCAAATAATTTGTGCAGTATAAGATCAAACTTTTTCACCCGTTTGCTCAACATGTGTTGGAAGTGACAATGCCTACATTTTGGTCACGTGTTGATGGAAGTCACATGACAGATTCAACTAACTAACGTATCCCGGAACTGGCGTATTGTAAACAACATGAAGGATTTTAGAGGGATTTTCTGAGGAAAATGTGTTAACTTAAAACTATGATGAATGTCAAGAATTTGAAGGAAAATGCAGATGTGACTATTGTGACTGTGCTACTACTAAGCATTTGCCTACAAATTCTTCAAATGGTGAATCTGTCATCTTTCTTGTTGTTCCCGGCTGTGTTTTTATCTACAAATGTTTTCCCTTTCGAGACTTTGGTATTCCACTTTTTCAACACACCGCACAAAACCAAACCAAACCAATATGGGAAAAGGTTACATTTTTACCTATGCCGCAATATATGAAAAGGTATACATTTATAAAATCTAAATTATATGAAAAGGGTGGGGTAACAGAATCCCAGAAGCACCCCCTATATATTAAGTATTGTAGTGAAAAAAAAAGAAAAAAAATCAAACGAGCTTTTCTGTATTGATCAGGTCGGATATATTTATCAGGGCATAATTTAATAGGGAGACCCATGGTGGTGAATTACTTACATTCAACAACTACAGGATGGTTTTGATTTAATTCCTATATCATCAACTTTGTCATTACAACAAGAACCTATCAGTGTCGGAATACAGCAGTATTAGCCAATGAACATAAAACAAACTGATTGTATCATGGCATAATTTTACCACAAAATTTTTTATCAGATATTCGGAATCCTCCCGTTATATCCATGGTGTGCATATAAAAATTTGCCTACTAACCCTTACTTTTTTTATTATTTTGTTACATATAGTTTTAAAAAGCCATTTTTTAAAATTCTAATAAAATCCTTTTTATTTTAGCATTGTTTTTTAAAGAAAAAGGTGTCAATGTTTATAAAGAGAATTATTTCCCGTCAAATTTTCATTTGATCATATCTCAAAAACAAAAACCTTTCGTATTTTCTGCTTTTTAGTTTCCGTTATTCATATTTCTCTGGATCATGCCACTCGGTTTTTTTTTCTTGATGACCACACTTAGTCGATTTTTTTTTCTTTACTGGCCGCTTGTGGAATCACTCAGAATGCAATTTACGTTTAACAGTTTGTTTTAAAAAAGGTCAATCAATGCTCTCATTAATAATATTAGTAATTTCCGATAAAGATTTACGCAGCGTGAAAAAATTCTCTTGTCCCTGTAATGAAAAGATTTTAGACTGCTGATTTCCGACTAAAGATCACATACGACTATTTTCAATATCACTCCGATGTTCATACCTCTTTAAAAAAACTGTATACGATGTATACCTTGTTTGATGCCGGTCAATGTAACTTTTTCTGTCACCTGCATCATTTAATGCAGCAAGAACAGATCTCAATTCTTTTCCCTTGCGACCCATTTTGTTTACATTAGCTACAACGTAAATGCAGATGACTGTGACGCCATCACGCACGTGTAACATGACAATAAAATTAAGAATGGAAATGGGGAATGTGTCAAAGAGACAACAACCCGACCAAAGAGCAGAAAAAAGCCGAAGGCCACCAACGGGTCTTCAACACAGCGAGAAAATCCCGCACCCGGAGGTGGGCTTCAGCTGGACCCTAAACAAAAATGTGTATTAGTTCAGTGAAGATGGACGCCATACTAAACTCCAAAACATATAAATGAGCACAGGTATTTTCTACAGAACTACATATATATATATATTGATTGCTATTCCGATTGTGCCATGGAGACGACGGTTAAAAATTTGTTTAACCTTCCGTGACGTGACAGTCATTGTTATTTTTACGACTTCTTCTGAACAGGTTGTATCAGAAACAACAAGAGAAAACAAAATTATAGATTTATGTTTCACCATCTACCCTAATCTTATAAAGAAAGTAGAAGTAGAACCAGGAATAAGCGACCATAACCTTGTTAAGATTACTATAAATACAAATGCAAAAATTCATAAAAAAACCGCCTAGGAAAATATACATGTATGAAAAGGGGAACATGGAAGGTATAAGATCAGACCTAAGATCAAAACTTGATAAGTTCAAAGAAGACAGCAACAAAGAAGGTGTAGAAACATCATGGACAAACTTCAAACACCTTGTTACAGAATCAATTGAAAACAACATACCATCAAAGCATACTACCACGAGATGGAATCTTCCCTGGATGACAACAGAAACTAAACAAATGATAAGAAAGAAACAGAGACTTTACAACAAAGCCAAAAAATCAAACGATAAGCAACACTGGAAAGATTTTAAACTTTATAGAAAAAAGTAAAAGAGCAACTACAAAGCAACCACGACCAATATGTCAAAGACATTTTGACACCAGAAGAACCAACAAAAGCACATACAGACAGTTGCAGAGAACAAATATATGCTACAACCAATAAATTTTGGTCGTATATAAAAGGTATGAAAAAGGACAGTAGTAACATCAGCATGCTTAATAAGAATGGTAAGGACATCATACATGCAGAAGAAAAAGCAAACATCCTTAACCAGCAGTACGAATCAGCATTTTCTGATATTGATTTTAACCAGTACTTAGACATACGATTCTATACAGATGTTGAATTTAGACTACCAAAATACCAAGACCTATTGTACACATGAAACCAATAAATATGTCGTTACCTGGAATTATCAAACAGCTGAAAAATATAAATCCTAACAAAGCAACAGGACCTGATCTGATTCCCTGCAGAGTCCTGAAAGAGACAGCAGAACAAATAGCACCATACTTGAAGGTAATATTTAATAAATCCATCAAATTAGGAACAGTACCATCAGACTGGCTCATCGGTAATGTCATCCCGATTTTTAAAAAGGGCGATAAAACAGATCCAGCAAATTACCGTCCTGTCTCTCTTACATCTGTCCCTTGTAAAATTATGGAGCACATCATCTTTAGTAGCATTATGAACTACCTGGATGACAACAAACTCCTGTCATCATACCAGTATGGATTCAGGAAAAACCACTCGTGCGAACAACAGCTTATAAACACCACGGAGGATCTAGCTAGAATAAGAGATAATAAAAGCCAAGAAGATATACTGATACTGGACTTCAGTAAGGCCTTCGATACAGTGCCACATCGCCATCTTGTACACAAACTCAGAAACAAGGGTATTGATAAGTACAAAGTAAATTGGATAGATAACTGGCTCCAAAATAGAAAACAGACAGTTCTCCTAGACGGCTGTAAATCACAACCTGCAACCGTACTATATATATATCCGGAGTTCCACAAGTTACCGTACTTGGCCCTCTTCTATTTTTGCTATACATCAATGACATTGGGGATAATTTAACAACTGGTACTAGCATAAGACTCTTTGCAGATGATTGCTTATTATACAGAGACATCAAAAGTCATAATGATACACAAATATTACAGAAAGACTTAACTGAATTAGAAAAGTGGTCTATTGATTGGAACATGTCATTTAATCCATAGAAATGCTACGTTCTACAGACAACACATAACATCCGTAATAGAATTATAAGACCATACTTCTTACATTCTACAAAGCTGGAACTAAAAGAACATAACCCATACCTAGGGGTGGAGCTAGACAGCAAGCTCAATTGGAACCATCACATTACCTAAAAAATTAACAAAGCTTCACAACAACTGAATTTTGTTAGAAGAAATTTATATAGATGCCCTCAAGAAATTAAACAACACGCTTACATTGCTCTGGTTAGACCACATCTGGAATACAGTAGCTCAGTATGGGACCCCCATTGAAAGAAGGACATCAAACGTATAGAAATGGTACAACACAGGGCGGTAAGATTTGTAACCATGGCTACAACTACCAACCCGGCTCTATGACCGCAATTATACAATCTTTGAATTGGCCTACCCTTGAAACGAGAAGAACAGCAAATCGCTTAATATTATTTCAGAAAATACTGTATCACCAAGTAGCCACCGAAATTCCCAAATACAACCTCGTCAACAACGAGAAAACACGTCATAGCCACACAGTCAGCATCATGCAGCCACAATGCAACACCTCCGAATACGAATTCAGCTTCTACCCGAGAACAATCCGAGACTAGAACCATCTACCAGGAAACATCGCAACTGACACCGACTCGGACACTTTCAAGGAAAACCTCTGGTCACACTTCAATCCCGAGACCAGAGATGCTGTAAAGATCATCCTTGTTTTTATCCTGCACCGACCACAATTTTAAAATTGTATATATTAATTTATTGTTTCGGTTTTGTTGATCACAACTTGTACAGCACCTGCACTTGATGACACAGCATCAGCGTGATGGTATTTTTTCGTTGCTGATTAACGAAAGAAGAAAAGTACGTACTGTTCAATCAATTAATAACAGTCTTTTTCTATAATGTGTTTAAAAGCTTGTTATTTTGAAACACAGAAGCAAACATACTTAAGTCATAATAATCTTTATTTTCTAACTAAGAAAACGTTTACAATACATACATGGTAAATTTATTCATCATAATCAGTAAATCTTTACCTTTTTTTTTTCACAATAAAACAGTATCATTAGTAAATTAAAAAAAATATACATTCGAAAATATATTGTCAACTCATTTTTGAAGTCAGATCATTAAAGAGAATGTAATCCTTTATCATGTGTATGTTCAAAAACGTTTGTAAATCATTTGAAGAAATTGAAAACGAAGTAGGCTAAAGTTTTTTTTTTATCTAACACCAATTTTCACCTTGAACAAAGTCAGACATCAAACAAAATTTTGTGTTACCCCAAATCTTCTGTATTACTCTAGAGAATGTTACAATAACGTTCCTTCCAAGAAATTTACATAAAATCAGATTCATACGCCTTTTCAAAATGAGTAGAATGCCAATTATGTTTTATTGAATTCCAATAATTTAAAAAAGATGAAACGTACAGATAGGATCAAAAGTTGAGTTGTTTTTCTAATCCTGCTTAATCTTCATTTATGACAAACAAGTTCAACATTTAACGCAAGATCTGTGATTTATTGTAGAGTTAATCAAGTGTCGACAACATACTAATTGGTCCATAGATTTATTGTAGAGTTTATCAAGTGATGACAAAATACTAATTGGTCCATAGATTTGTTGATTCATTTTCATTACTAAGGTTTTTGTGTATTGAAGGTGTTATATGATCTAGTAACCATGTATGAATATTAATTAAAAAAATATAGACTAAGGCAATAGGTCACACTTTCTTCGTCCAAAATCAATTATGAAAAAGCCATCTACATAAAAATAAAGATGATGCATGATTTGACAATCTCGCAACTATTCATACCCCAAAAGGACACATATGTAAACAATTAAAGATCACCGTTACGACATTCAACAATGAGCAAAGCCCATACCGTTTTTCAGGTATGATAAAGTGTAAAATAATTGAACAGAAGTAATCAGCGGACTTATTTATACCCAACGTCTGTTGTGACGTTTTGGATTTCAATGAACGTAATCTATGTATTACTGGTATAATATCAAGTCAGGGATTTCGTTACCACAAATTACTTAATACCTTTACTAAATTCTTCCATGGATATAAAGATTTGGTTTTGATGTTTGTTTGTACCTGTAGAAAACTTATTTCAAACTGGATAACACATTCTTTTTTTTACTGAGATCTTGTTTACCGAGTCCGGCAATTTCGATACGATCCGGATAAACTTATCGATCCTTTAAATAACCTTTTTCTAAAAGCTTACAATTCAAAGCTAAGATCAGATCTTTGAATATTGTTTTTATTTGTATTGATATTGATTTTACTATCTGTAAATTAAAATCAAACTAAATACTAATTATATATATATATCTGCACATTCATGGCTCTAGAATATGTTGATACCTGTACATTGTATCTTGGCTTTGTACATGTGATGTTTTTTTCTCTGACTGTTTATGACGTTTTTACACTGAATCCAATGGATGTTGGATGTGTACTGAATAATGTTTTAGTCTTAGATGCACGATTTTGTTCATTAGTTGTTAGTGTCTTTCTGTTGTGTGGATGTATAAGTACCCGTCCATGTCCATTCTGTTTTTTTTGTTAGATGTATTTCTATTTGTATCCATCTGATGAGTTAAGACTTTTTTCAACTGATTTTTATAGTTCGTTCTTATGTTGTACTGTTACACCACTGTCCCAGGTTAGGAGGAGGGTTTGGCGCCATCAAACTAGTTAACCCCGCCACATTCTGCAAGTGCCTGTCCCAAGTCAGGAGACTGTAATTCAGTAGTAATCGTTTTTTGCTGTGTATGATATTTGTTTTTTATTCATTATTTTGTACATAAATTAGGTCGTGAGTTTTCTCGTTTGAATTGTTTTACATTTGTCGTTTCGGGGCCTTTTATAGCTGACTACGCGGTATGGGTTTGGCTCATTGTTGAAGGCCGTACGCGTACGGTGACCTATAGTTATTAATTTCTATGTCATTTAGTCTTCTGTGAAGAGTTGTCATATTGGCAATCATCCCACATCTCCTTTTTTATATGAATGAAAAGCAAATATTACAGACAGCAATCTGGTTCATATTTAATATATGTTTCTGGCCAGAGACATGGACATAAACAATGTGGTGGAGAGGGGCAAAAGATACCAGAGGGACATTCAAACTCATAAATCGAAAATAAACTGTCAACGCCAGTAATAAAAAAGAAAAAGACAAACAGATAAACAATAGTACACAAAACACAACATAGAAAACTAAATACTAAGCAACACGAACCCCACTAAAACTGGGGGTGATCTCAGGTGCTCCGGAAGGGTAAGCAGATCCTGCTCCACATGCGGCACTTGTCGTCAGCGTTCAACCCTTCCCCATTAGATGGGACCTGTGACGTAACAACATATCATAAGAACTATAATAATAAGTTGGAAAGTGCTTGACCCCTTAGATTGGGTTCAGAACTAAGAGTACTTACAATTACTGAAAGCTTGTTCAAAGACCAACATCAGCTAATGAATAAACCATGTTCTTCCAGACTGTAATGTCAATCAGTACACACCCATGTGCAAAGACCTCATTTATAAGAAATTACTAAATACGATGCCACTATATAAGTATTGACAAGATACAGGACCATTAGTATTAACATATATTTAACCGAAACTGTTTTGTTGTAAATTAAACTATTTAAAAATTAAATAAATTTTAAAACCGATAAAGACAATTTTAAGCATCTTACTTTAATGCTTATTGTTAACCGTAATAATCTATATTCTAATGCAATTTTAATGTAACCACTTTTTCATTGGCTAAAAGTTACCGTCAAATCCACAGTTGACCAGTCGTAACTAAGGAGAGACCCGCCATTTTGAATAGATTGAATAACAAATGTTCGATTTCTACAATATAATCACAAATTAAATAACACCAACCCCAAAATCGCCGTTTTAATGTGATTTCATCCAAATTTGAATCGTAGAGGTAACGTAATAACCTCCAAGTTGTAAGTTTTAATTTGTATGACGTCACGTTTAGCCATAACGTCTTTGTGCAAAAATCATTCATAAAGTTTCGCGGATTTTTTTTTATTTCAAATTTAAACATTTTGTCAAGCTCTAACGTATTATTACTTTTTGTAATGCATTAGAATCGGAATAACAGTACTGTAGTTGAAGAGTTGCCACCGTCAATTTTGATTTGACGGTCGCAAATTGACGTTTTACTGTCTCCGCTACGCGTCGCCAGTAAAACTGCATTTGCGACCGTCAAATCGCCAATTGACGGTGGCAACTCTTCAACTACAGTACTGTTATTCCTTAATTTTATTTTATTACAAATCAGTTGAATGTGTCCTAGTTGTTCGACTGATTGCATATATAGCGTTGGAGTTTGGTGTTGAAAAACGCAGTTTGCCTTTATACAAAGATACTGTTTTTCTATTACATATAAATGAGACGAATATAAACACTCCTTGAAGTGCATTTAAGAGCCACACAATCAAAGAAAATGCATTTTCTTGAAGAGATGACGGTAAAAAAGATTCAGCTATTTGGAAAATCCACGTTATTCCGGTTATCGTAAATAGTTTGACGTAAACAGTGAACTGAGTTCTATTTGGTCCAAGCTGTTCATCTGTTACCCTGCAACTAGAAGCAATAGTTCTAGCAGTGAGTGAGAACAAGGCTACATTACTACAACATACAAGAACAATAGGTGCCATAAATGTGATAATGATAGATATTTGTTGATTTAAAAAACACACGTGTCCACCATAACCAATCGCGTTGTCACTATGAACAATGGACGTTAATCCAACGTTGCAAGAAACAATCAAGAAGGGCACTCCATAAGAGTATAACACATACAGAAGAATGGTTCTTGTTTGCTTGGCAATTTCATTTTGGTGTCTAGTAATGCAGATACTGCTAAACATACGATACATATGAAATGAACATACATTCAAACATCCAAAGGTAGCTAACCACAAGTAGTGTATCAAAATTCCAATAACAAAACAGAGTGTCTTATTGGTTGTTTGGTATAATCCAAATTGATAGATAGAATGAGAACAAAACATTGCAAACACTAATGACATGTTGATTTTTCCTGGTAAGGTTCGCAGTGACGGAAATATCAAATACGTCAAAAACGTCAAAAATAAACATACTAAGGAGATACAAGTACAAATCATCAAAACAATTCCAGAAACATCCTTATATATGTTTGATTCGCTCTCTTCTTTAATGAGCCATTCGTAATCTTCCTTACAGATTCTTGCGCCAATTGACGGTGTTATAATATATTTAATAGGACTTAATTTCTTCCTTGAAAAGCCGACAATTAAATTACGTGTCTCATTTTCTACGCTGAATTCTGCATCTTTCAGGTCAATCTGTTTACAAATAAGCAGCTCCGATACTAATATATACGTTTTCATCCTGGCACCTTCTTCTGAATATATATAACAGGTTCCATTCAAATGGGATGTTTTGGATGTATCTGGCAACAGTAAAGGGTAATACTGCTCTGTTACTGTAAACTTATAAATAAAATTCCCATGTAAAATGTCAATTGTTGAGTTAGTCAGTTTTAATAAATTTTCTTCAACCTGTGTCCGATTTACATGCATGAACAACGGAAATGACATCTTCAGATAAATTGATAAGCTAATGTTTTTTCCTCTTTCAAATGTTAACTCGTCCGAGCATGAAGATCTAAATTTCAAAATAAGAAGGTCTTGCTGGAAAGAAGCCGTAATATTGGTAATGTGTGATATGAAGCTGACCTTAACTATTTGTAAGAATTCCGCACTAGTTACATTGTCGTTGAATATAACTCCTTCCAACCCAAGTGTAAGAATATATCCCAGACCATACGTTATTTCTAGCAGTGGAACGCATACATTCTTTCTTAATACTCGTCCGGGAAAACAAGTCAGGTCTGAACAAGTATGCTTCAAAAAAAATATATATATTATCAACATATTTCTTTTTTGTAAGTTTGATAATTTATGAGTATTAATAAATTAGGCTGGATTTCATTCGCTAATATTGGAAAAGACGCGGATTGAAATGAAATTTACCAGACAAAAGTCCTGTCGGTGTCCTTTGAAAATAAAAATAACACTTAATAAATTAGTTGTATTCAAACTGCTTTCTTGATTTATCTTCATCAGGAACGCCCAAAGCCAAACTTTGAAAGCAAAGGATGTGTAAGACCCGAAACACTTATTTGACGTATCATTAGAGGAGCCCGAAATCAATAAGCTGAAAACAACACAACTACACTACCCATGATGATCCCTATGCAGCAACTAAAACCAGACAACTTTACTATATCTGAGGACCCTTGTATAAAGAATATAAATTTGTTATAAAAATCGGATTTGTAGCTTCATATATGAGATTTCCTATCCGTTGCTTACAGACACTAAATTTAGAATATCCTAATACCCTACAAACAGACATGAATGGCTATTATTGTTTTGCTTAAGAGAAAAGAACTGTAGAAATAACAAAGATGAACGCCTAAAGTAGTAGCCCACTGTAGCGTCACTCTTATATCTTAAACGCTTTTGAGCGGAGAGGCATAGAAATAAACCAAATCCAGCATGACTTTTCCTATTACCAACAGAAAAAAAGACAAATTTCCAAGAAGAGTTAGAATCCTAATTTTCAAAACTATAAACTTTGGTGGATAGTTGTCTCATTTGCAATCATACCACATCTCCTTATTTTTATAACATAAATAAAAACAAAATATTACCATAATAGAGTTGTAAAATTGGTCCTGTCTGCACTCCTTCTTGAATATTTTGTCTGTAGATGTTCTTTCGTAGTTTAAAAGAGAAAATAAGACACGATACGTAGGTTGGAAAATGTAGGTGGGATCGACAATGTCAGAACCATTGGTGTTTTTAATTTCAAAATGTATGTCTATACTGATATCGTCTGCTAAATTTTCATGTGGATTGTTACATTCTTTACAAAATACATTTTTATAAGGGGCATGATATTCTATTTCAGGAAGATTAATGCAGTTTTTCAAAGCATACTCGTTGTACAGGAGTTCTGGCCACATTCCAGTTTGATTACAAGTAGTATACACAATTTCTGTGTTAATTTCAGGATTACATATTTTGCAGAATGGATTTTCACCATTTTTTGGTACGACTAAACGTTCACATGCCCATCTGATGTTATAGTCTAACTTTTGCAATTTTCCTGTAGAATTACATTTACTGAAGCTTTTATCTCCACACTCAACAGTATTACCTGATGGTTTAAGATCTATTGTACATTTATTTTTCATCGCAAATTTGAAATATTCCTGTAAAGAAATATGAATGACATACGGAATATATGTTCTGCAAGAAATAGAAAATTTCCATATTTCTATATCATTTGTAATCTCCTCCTCTATGAACGTTACGTTTATTTCTTTATATTGGCATAAATAGCAAAAGATATTTTTGAATGGAATATCATCTTTAATAAATTTCACTGGTAAAATGTTCAACAGGTTCTGGTTAGAGTTCTGTTTACAAAGCATGTGTAACCGAGACTGTGGAAAATTGGAACAATCATCATAAACTATATATGTTTTCCTATTCAGTGAGTATTTATCCAAAGTGCAGGTTTTACTAGGCTCAAAAAGTTTGTCAATGCAACAAGGATTAAAATATGACCGATGTCTAACGCTACAATGGACATCGCAGTCACAGTTCTCTAGTTCTGTAAACGTTGAGTAGTTTTTACAAAATAATTCACGTCCAGAAAATGCCAAGTACTTAGAATATATGTCTAACAAATCATCTATGTACATGTCTAATTGGCTTGAGTTTGAAAAATCATCCAAAGGTTTAGTAAGAAAATGTACCAAAGATTCATTAACATAACTGGAATATTCAATGTCCGAATTTTTGGCCAGCGTGTAAAGTATATATTTCAAATTTAATTTCTTAATTTTGAATAGATATTCGAACTGACCATGTGTTTCTACATCATACGTTACATCAATAAAGTTATACTGCGTTAGTTTGTCATTGTTTCTATTACAAAAGTAACAGTATATATTCTTGAAGTTACCTATTACTTGAGTTCTTGGTGTTTCAAGACATAGCTTTTCCAGCTCTAGATCATATGGGTGCCACAAACATGTATCATTGCAATTCGAAATATAATGGTCACCATACAGGGGTGGATTACAAAGATAACAAAAAATGTTTTTGAAGTAATCAAAATTATGATCGTAAGTCTGACATGCGTGATCTATGTCTGAATCGTATGATTTCCATGTGCCAGAAATGTTACATGAATTAATCCCATAGAAGAGCCTCGAGTTTTCAATGCTGCATGATCTGAGATTCAATTCTTTCGTTGAGTCTTTTATATAGGCTATACTACAATTATTATCAATCGAAACATTATAAAGGTCATCATATGATGACATGAAATTAAAATCTACTGACTGGCGGCAATCAATACCAATTCCCCATGCCAATAGATCTTCTGGAGTCTCTTTGTGACAGACTGAACAATAATTGTTCCTATACGTTAGACCTGTTTTCAATGATGTCAGGGGCATATTTCTAATAAGGTTGTTCCAATTATCCTCAACATAACATACATTACGATCATTTTCAATGGAACCTTGTGGACAAGATGTGACCATTAAAACGGAAGGATTTCTATATTTGTTGATGCTGATTGGATAATTATTGTTTACGTTCCACCACAATCCTTTAAGTATACCTGGATTTACACATGAAATATTGAGTGCATAAAATACTTCAGGACAACAGTTGCCATACTGAATACACCTAATGTTACAACTGCATAAAGGACAAAGACCAAACTTTCCCATAACAAATGAAGATCTGCTCGTTTCACTGCTACTGCAACTATAATGTCCACACATTGACGAATATTGTATCATAATCTGTGTTATGTTCAATAAATTAACTGAATTAAACACCAGTAATGGAAAGAGTCCTCTTATTAAAATCATGTTACTGTTGAAAGTTAATTCTGAAAAAAAAAACAAGAAGTGGTATTCAGAACTGATTTTAATTATTTTAAAAAGCAATTTCTTTTGATGTTGATGTTGCTCAATTGCTGTCTCATTGACTAAAACTTCACATCTCCTTTTATTCACAATTGTAAAGGCACTGCACAGTAAGTGCCCCATAGCAATCACTCCATTTGTCTCTCTATCTGTCATCCTGCCAGTCCGTCCGTCAGCAATTCCATGTCGTAAATAAAACCTTGCTTCAACCGATTCACGTCAATTGTAACCTTAACGGTAATATTGATTGTAAAAGAAAAGTTCATTTCGATATTTTTGGTAAACTTTTCGCAAAAAAGGGTGGTTAAAAAAATAGATTTTGTTAAAAAAAAATACACAAACTTTAAGAAAATTATGTGGGTCCTATGATTTCAACAATCATAAGAATTTAGTCAACAAATGTCATTTATAACTGACTCTTAGTTTGAAAAAAAATAGTTTTTGTGAATAATAAAAATTAGTTTTAGTTAAAAACAAATCACAAATCTTTATAAAATTCTCTTTTTGTTAGAGTTTCAAAGAATTCGAAGGATTTTAACGAAAATTGATAAATAGGTTCACTGGGAAATTCCAAATTGTTCCCTTTGACAATTTGGATAAAACATTTACTTTTGTTTAGAAAATTACAAATTTTGAAAATTTCATCTTTGTGCTTGGATTTAAAAAAAAATTGAAAATTGAAAACGAAGGTATAATCTGATTTGCCAAGTTGATTAACAGTTTTAAAATTAGTTGAGCAGGGTAATTATTTTCAAAGATATCTTTCACACTTTTTTAATGTCATTCGTGTGCTTTATATAATACTGTGGATTGGTTGTAATGCACACATTAATATTTGTATACGGAATATTTCTCGTAGTCGAATGCACAAACGTCAAAGTGATTAAAACTTAAAGAAACATTAATAATATGAAAAACTCATCTTGAATTCATTCCTGTTGTCAAACTGTACGGGAAAGTGATACTACATGGACAGATATTACTTTCTTCAAATCTGTATTAACTATTTGTTTTCTGTGTCTTTCACTAAAATGTGTGAGCGGACCTTGCCGACATGAATTTTTTTTAAGTTTCGTACATTTTTTCACGGGCGAAATGAAATTGACCAAAACTAAAAATAAGTTTATGACAAGCCAGTCGACAAGTATTTAATGAAAGACTCAATGTATGTATGTAACGTTTGATATAAGAAAATCTCAATAGTGATAATATATTGTTTCGTAACTGATGAGTTTAGCTTTATATATAAAGATGTTAAGGTATAGACATTTAAACACCTAACATTTTTACCAGTTAAGTAATTTTAGGAAATTTTTGATGTCGATTTTTTTAACTCTTGATAGACATATTACAAAAAAGAAACACAACAGTTTAGGTGTTCTATAAACAGTTGAAAACCGGAGCACTTGCGATCATCTCAGGTTTTTGGTGGCGTTCCTGTTGCTAAGTCTATAGTTTTCCAAATTGTGTTTTGTATACTGTGTCTTTTCTTTAGGTCGTTTTTCGTTTATTTTCCATGACGTTGTCAGTTTGTTTTCCACTAATGAGTTTGAATGTTCCTTTGGTATATTTTGCCTCTCTCTTGAGATTTTATTGAAAAGTAGTATTATACATACTAAAGTATACCTGTGACACGCCATGACATTTTTAGGCTTATTGTAATGTAGCGTCATTGATATAACGAAGGTATTCAAAGTGAATGTCATGTCACATAATGAATGGTGTTAAATTAACGATTTCTATAATGAATTTCAATTCTGTGATTTCAATATTACACTTGGAAATAAATAAAGTTTTGTTTGTTTGTAGAAAGCGAATTAATTAAAAAAAAAGGTGACAAGAAATGTTTTCTTTCGTATTCCTTCACAATGACATAACATTTCTTGAATAATGATGATTCAATGGTGAGTAATCAGTTTTAGGATTTGCATTTCAAAAATGATGGCCATCAAACACTACTGAAGAGATATTAATAGTACAGTTGGTACTATTACTGTTAAAATAGACCACTGACAACAGACATCACAGTATGGGAACATCAGTAAACTAATGTCTACATATAAAAATATTATCTTAAGTTGAAGAATTTTGTGAACAGCTGTTATCATGTTTATTTCCCTACTTTTAACCTTTTACCTCTTTTCAACTTATGTTTTTTATTACTCTTCTGTGTATTGTCTAAGCAAGCAATATAATCATAAAAAAGGTTTTCTTCTAATTCTATATTATATTTATATTTCAAACTTACAGTTATTACAGAAGTTAAGCTCCTTTTGACATCACAGTATTCCTATTAGTTGATTGTGGTGTGCTGCGCGATAGAGGTGACAGATGTCTGAAGACCGATTAAGTCGTGTGTCATATTTATATCATCCAACATCCAATATATGTACTAATTAGTTGTTTTATTTGAAACTATTCCTGGAAGTATATAATTTTTCATTAAAACTATGAAATGAGTGCTTTCTGAATAATTATTTGCTCAATACAAATTGATCTCTCATGACTAATACAAAATTCTATTATATGATAACTGTGAAATTAGTTCTTTCTAAAGCAAATGTTGGCTCTGTGCATGCATATTCATTAAGGAATGATGTGTCCATCAACAAGGCGAATTTAGTTTCCATTAACTTGAAAATACTGAATTATGATTTTCGGATTACCTTTTCCCCTCCTATGAAATTGTTTAAATGCATAATATTCCTATCAATTTTCCAAATCTCTAATCAAGAATGTTTGAGTTGGTTCTGTTGTTTTTGCGTTTATTTATTTCTGAAATTATAACCAAAAATTTACAAAGAACTGAAATCCGTATTTATTTTCCTTTGCTTGCGCGCGTCTGGCGTACCAAATTATAAGACTGGTATATTGAATATTTTTTTTCCACGGCTGTAAGTTATATCTAGTGTCGTCCATCTTTCATAGAAATTTAAAATGGCACTCATACCACATCTTCCTATATCTAATTACATTGGTGCAATAAAATACCGTGATTTCCAGTGAAATAAAAACCAATAATTTCACATGTGAAATAAATCCGATATTTCACTCCTCTGACGTCAAACAACAAAGGGTGTTGCCTAGACATTGTCGATGACGTTTCATCACAATGTATTGGGAATGTGTATAAACAGATATCTTTCCTTATATTTTATACGTTATTTCAATTAAAAAGCCCATGGTCAACGTAATAAAATGTAATAATTCGTGACCGAACAACACTGATAATTAACTCATTGGTC